AAACAAGATAAATTAAAATCGATTTAAATGAGAACACAATTAAAACTAATATAATAATAATATTTACATTATAAAAATTAAGTAAACTTGGCCCCACTGGCTTCCGTAACTCCTTAGAGGCTCTAATTGGTATAGAGGTAAATTACGTTAAATCATCATATTTTAGGGTGCATATTTGCCTAACACGCACCTGTTCTGTGTCGGTACTTATGCGGAACACAGACTACAAAATCCATTCTCAGGGCACATTCTTTTTTAAAATTGAAAATACCAAAACACTATTAGCGATTTTTGTATATGTTATGGTTAAAGTGTGTAATTTATAAACTAGCTGAACAGTATACAAATTATATTTATTAAAAAAGCTATGAATATTGGTTAGTTTGTATATTATCCAGCTAGTTTACAAACTATACAAGATTTATCGCAACAGTATAATCCACAAACAAGTACACAAATCAACCGGTGTTTTTGGCTAGTTTACAAACTCTCCACAGTATTTGGATAAAATGTAAAACCATAATATTCGTAATAACACATAAAAGTCAACTCGTCGGTTAATATGGAAACTGACCAATCCTATTTGGTTAATTTACTTTAGTAGGTATAGTAAAATATTTCTTGGGCAAAAATAAAGTTTATTGATAGGTGTAACATAATATTGCAATTACTATAAAAAAGTAAAAAAAGTAAAAAAAGTAAAAAAAGTAAAAAAAGTAAAAAAAGTAAAAAAAGTAAAAAAAGTAAAAAAAGTAAAAAAAGTAAAAAAAGTAAAAAAAGTAAAAAAAGTAAAAAAAGTAAAAAAAGTAAAAAAAGTAAAAAAAGTAAAAAAAGTAAAAAAAGTAAAAAAAGTAAAAAAAGTAAAAAAAGTAAAAAAAGTAAAAAAAGTAAAAAAAGTAAAAAAAGTAAAAAAAGTAAAAAAAGTAAAAAAAGTAAAAAAAGTAAAAAAAGTAAAAAAAGAAAACAAGTTAAATAAAAATATTTTGTTCACTATTCTGACCTTCATTAATTTTGAATTTTGCGACTTTTAATCGTAAACTTCCAAAAGCAGTTTTTCAAATTATTGCTGCTGATTCATTTTGATTAACCAAATGCATATTTCACAAGACCCAACACACTACACCATAAACATATTTTCTCACTTTTCTATTAAATTAACCAAAGAGTATTGATCAGTTTATATACTAACCGACGAGTTGGTTATGATGTATTACTACGAATATTAAGTTCCACTCCTTATCCAAATATTGTGGATAGTTTTCTTGGGGTTTGTTCTTGTCGATAAAACTTGTAAAGTTTGTAAACTAGCTGGATAGTACACAAACCTACCAATATGCATAGCAATTTTAGTAGAAATATGATTTTTCATCAAAATAGCCAGACATTTGTATAGTTTCTATACTAACCAGCTAGTCTATAACCTAGCCAAGTAAACACTTAAATTGTAACATATATATACAAAAAAACCACTAGATTTGAACGCCCTCGAAAAGACTTTCATATAAAATTCATTTTAAAATATATATTGGTATCAATTATTTTTTTTTTTAATTAAGGGTCTAAGTGCCAAATTTTAAAAAATATACATTTCTACATAAAAAGGTTCAATATACCAACCCTAACAGTATACAAATTGTTCTTGAGGGCATTTTAAAAGAAAACCATTTTTTGTAGAGGGGTAAACATGACGAATGTATATGATGTATACAATTTTTATTTTACTCATAACTTTTTTCTATGTTTTTGGCACTTAGACCCTTTTGAAGTTATGCCCTTCAATTCTGAAAAGTATCCAGGGCCAAAAAAATTTTGTTTATTGGAAGTTAAAATATCAAACAAACATGTTATTCCATTTCAACTTGGTCACACTACACAGTCCGTAACAGCCAAATTAAATAAATTCGGTAATAAATAAATGGGAGCGTGTTCGGAAAAACGCTCGGACACATCGATTGGTATTTTTAGTTGCGCATTTATTTTAACAAAATCATTTTACACAGGGTGTGTCATGTAGCTGTTGCCAATACCAACTTTATTTTAAATGCAACACCTTGTATATTTTTCAATTTTTGGATTTTTCAGAAAATTATAGACATATTTTAAGAACTATGTCCTATACATACCTAACTGTTTCGGAAATATTAAATGTTTTCTGATTTATTGCAAAAATTAACATTAATAAAATAATTTGATTGGTTACAACACAATCAAAAACTAATAAGTAATACTGTTTATTTCTTGGTAACGTAACAAAAAAAATACATCTCAATGTAGGAAATTTTCAAAACGCTCTCCGCGAACCTCTTGGCAACATCCTAATCTGAAATTAAAATGTCTTCTAACGTTACTCAACATCTTAGACGTGACCGATCTAATCGCAAGCGTCATTCGTCTTCTTAAGTTAGCTAGGTCGAGAGGTTTAGTTTTGTATACAATACTTTTAACATATCCCCGTATCAGATCAGGAGATCGTGCTGGCCATTCCATCGATACTGGCCTTCCTATCCACCGATTTGAAAATACTCGATTGAGGTATTGCCGGACATTGATTTGGTAATGGGTCGCTGAAACTATATCATATTCGCTGGAACTTGTGGGTTTGCTGGATCCGGATATAGGTAAGTTTCCTTAAAGTTGGCACGACATTATTTTGAAACAGTGTTAAATAATTATCGTCATTTAAATTGTCATCAATGAAAAAGGAACCTATGATATGATCGCAAACAATTCCTGTCCAAACATTTTCAAGGTATTTTGTTCTTCTCTCATCCAGTGAGAATTTCCTCTAGAGCAATAGTGGCATTTCTGACTGTTAGCATAACTGTGAAGTGTAAGTGTACACTCATCAGAAAAAAAAACATGTTCGAATTGGATCAGCATAATATCTAAGATTGCCATCATTTGTTCACAACATTGCGTTCTCTTATCCAAATCGTCTTCCATGAGCTCATGAGTTGCTATTATTTTATAGGGATGCATTTTATTTTCGTTAAATGATTGAATAATCAATGAATGGCTGCTAATATTGAACATTGGGTCAGCTTGTCGACTAGAAGTATGTGGATTTTCCTGAAACTCGAGCATAATATCCAATTTGGTATCACTAGTTATGGCATTGGCAGCTGATTTTTATCTTCCCCTGCATGTCTAAGCTGGAAGAAATATGCTCATCTATACAGGTAGCAGATAAGCACTACTCACCCTGAACAGACCACGAATTTATTCAGGGCTAGTACTAGAATGTCACGAAGTTTTGGCTGAAGAATCCATTAACAACGTGGTCACCTTAAGATGGATCAAAGATCACGCCACATCAAAAGGTAATCGTCTTGCTGATTCACTGGCCAAGAAAGCAGCCAACCAAATACTTTTTGGACCTGGCCCTTCCATTGGCCTGACAAAATCAGTAGTGACAGACCTAATTAAAGAACATTCCCTCGTAAAATTCAAGGAAAGATGGGATGAAACAAGAAACTGTAGAGTTGCCAGGAAGCTTTTAAGACAATACTGCAGCAAACAAATACTTGACTATGACTAGACAGAATCTGCGCCTTGTCACAGGCATTCTGACTAGTCATTGCCAAGTACGGAAGCATCTCCATATCATGGGGCTATCAGAATCCGCACTCTGCAGAGGGTGCGAACAAGATGATGAGACCTTCTAGCATATCCTCTAGATTGCTTTTATTAGAAAATTTGTGTTGAGCGAGTATTGGCTAACACCGGCCGATATAAGAGAAGCACCTCTTGATGACGTCATCATGAAATTTGTAGGCTGGCTCACGAACTAGGAGGTGCCTATCATCTTAGGAGGATGCAGAATGGGCCTAGTAAGGCCTAAGTGCCGTGAGGGTAACCCACCCTCCACACGTTACAGATACAGAGAGATGTCCAAGCTCGCGAAACTGCTTCTCTATTTAACTAATTGTTTTTTGGGATATACGTTGCAAATTTGGAAATTTTTCATGAAATAAGCGAGCAACTTCATTTGTGTCCGTGTGTTCTCTCCATAACCAATCATCTGTAGCATTGTTATTTCGTGCATTTCTTTTAAATGAACCATTTTTCTGATATGCAGTTAAGTAAATTTAAACGACTATAATACTGACAACTACTGTCATGCAGTTAGATAACAATCTGCTAAGGTCATGCGTTTTAAACAAAAGTAAACAAAACAATTTTTTTATTTCATATCAGTAAAAAGTAACGCTGAAATGGTTTTGCTTACTTTCTCACTATCAAGACCTAAATGGGAAATAAGTATTGAGTGTGTTGTAGCGAATTTCTGTAATCAAACAATTTTATTTTGTTAATGTTAATTTTTGCAATAAATCAAAACATTTCATATTTCCGAAACAGTTAGGTGTAGGACATAGTACATAAAATATGTCTAGAATTTTCTGGAGAATCCAAAAACTGAAAAATATACAGAATGTTCCATTTAAAATAAGAAAGTTGGTATTGGCCACTGTTACATGACACACCCTGTATAAAAAAAAATTATTAAAAAAATGCGCAACTAAAAATACCAATCGACGTATTCGACCTTTTTTTCGAACAAGTCCCCATTTATTTATTACCGAATTTAATCAATTTGGCTGTATAAATTGAAAGTGAACACAACAAAAACTATTTAATTATTGTTTATATTATTTTAGGCAAAAATATATTTTTCGCTATAAAATTTGCAAATAAAATATTACCCATTCCTTATGAATTATCCTGCTTATTATACAAAACTATAGATAACACTAAATTTAGAAAAAAAAGCATTATTTTAAAAAAAAATATTTAAATTTATTTTTTTTTAAATAACATTCTACTTTTTTATTAACAATTTTGATCTAGTCCTAAATACTTTTCAAATAAATTTACGTACCAACATCAAATAATTTTAAAAATACTGTTTTATGTATAATAATAACCTACTTAAACCCTTGAATAGCAATTAGTAATATACTTAAAAATCGACACATTTTTAAAAATAAAATATTACTTACTCCTCCTTTGATTTGTTCTTTACATTTGTTGCAAGTTTTGGGTTCGGTACTGGCTGCGGAACTCTGCAAGAAAAGACAAAAACAATAAAATATTTTTATAGCAATCAGTAAATCTATTAAACTATACACTATACCAATGCTTTAGAATTTTGAATACTACTTATATAGAAATAATTAATAAATGGCTTTAGCTTTTTAAGAAAAATCTTCATTTTAATTGGCATTTAAAAACTGTTACTGATTATTATTTCTGCTCAAAACTTGCCAATCGAGTAATTAAACATTATTACAATTTTGCCAAATATCTCCGGAAGCCGAATATAGGGATATATACGTTTTCTTCTTGTAGTGCGTAGCTTTTTCATGGTTAGTTATTGTATTTGTGTTTAAGTTGACAACTTATACCGTCTAAATGTAATCAAGGAGCATAAAAAATAGTATCTAATTACGGACACATTTAAAATATATAAAATATATAATATATATTTATTTATAATAACTAACCACCTACTAAAGTAAAAAAATAATAGATTAGAATGTTTATCATAGATAGCTAATTATTTAAAAATAATTTAAAATTCACATCGACAACTACAAAAATTTTAAAATATATTATCAGTAAATTTTAATAGACGATACCCTGTTTATGCAGCTGCCACACCACGTCATGCATTGTCCAGAATTGTTAAAATAACAATCTCAACGGATACTACAACACAAAAAAAACCGGACAGGACAATGATAAAAATCAATTACATAATAATAATATAAAATAAAAAGGATTTCAAACATTTAACAAATATGACACACCCCAACGTGTACTAAAGAACAATTTTGACTGTGTAAAAATAATGTACAAATATTAAAAATAAAAAAAAACTACTGAAGAAGGCACATATACGAGTTTCATTTCTCAACCAACACCTAAAAACCCAAGAACTACAAGGAAAAAATGTTAAAAAATAAAGAACCTTTATTATTTTTTCTAGTTCGCTCTTCCTACAATAATGTAATTAAAAAAATTTAAATTCTCTGGATGTATTGGAATATGTCACGGGGCATACGAAACAAAATTTTCTACTTTAATTACTTGTACTTTGATAATAGTAAAGTTTTCTACGGACTTTTAAAAGAAATTGACTATTAATAGTTCATTTTTTATAAAATAACAGACGCATAAAAATCTAATACGATTCTGACTAAGATTGTTTAATATTTTATAAACAAAATATAATATTTTAAGGCACCTGTAGGTAAAATTGTAACTTCTTGTATTCAAGAAAATGTATATTTAATGTTTAAACAAACACATTTTAACAATCTAGATCCATTTTATTGCAGAACACTATAATTTACACAACTTTTGATACGTTCAATAATACGTTTAAATTATAAATTCCTATTACTTTTATTTTTCAAATTTTGTAAAAATTGTATGCATTATTTATATTTTTGATTTCACATTAAATAGAAATTTTGTAAATCTAATTTAGGTAACAAATTCATTTAAAAACATACCATAGTTCTATTGTTGTAATTTGAATTATTGTAAAGAGATTCGTCTACTGGTACAATTTAAAAATTTGACAACTAAGTATTTGACATTAATCTGGTTGACGTGGAAATTGCAGACTGAACTCGGTTGCCATGAATAAGAGCAACTTATGTTTGCTCAATTAACATTTTAGTCAAGGATCTAAAACGTTTTCTCCACAATTACGTAATAATTTCTAATAAACTTTAAATTTAGAGTACCTATCACAATTATTTCACTCATATTCGATATATACCTAATACTTATATTACAAGGATAATTTAAAAAGTTAAAATACGAAATTAAATTACGCAATTGGCCAGGTGCACAAAATTACCTATTGTATACTCATCAAAATAAAATAATGTACCTAAAATAATACAAGTATTGATTTATATCAAAAAAAAACAGCCGATAAAATTAAATTCATCACACAATTTTGATTTTGGTTACTAAGGAGAACGTGTTCATTAGTAAGTATACTCAAATCCCACTTGTAGAACCCAGTTTAAAAACTAGGAGAGTGGAAGGCTTCACTACAGATTGGAATGATGAATGTCTTTGCTTGCTGATGAGTTCTAATAAGGACGAAATCGATCCAAGAATGAGTAAATAAAATCAAAGTTAAGTCTTTTTCGAAGGGAAACGCTTACTCGCTATCATTTTGTGACAAAATGGCTCAGAAAATTTCTTGTTTTCATTTTTAGTTTCCTGTCTGTATACAGAAGGAAAGTATAGGAATTCTGATTTTTTTCCATCTATAGTTTTCGAAGTTTTGAGGTCCACCTGAATAGATTTTGACTATTTTCGCGGTGACACTAAATGTTAATCTTGCTTTTATCCATCCTCTAATGAGAAGATTAGATTTTGAGCCTAGTTAGAGCATCTGGAGAGGTGCTTTATAGGATCGTTTTTCTACTCTTATAATTAATATATCTGTAATTTACTCTTGGAGAAGAAAATTTGTCAAATAAAAGTTGCTTTTTATGTCATTCTCTATAATTTTTGTCCTATACATGATATCCCTAAAATGGTCCGTTTTCGAAACATTTGAAAAAATGTGCAAACCTCGAATATTTAAAGAAAATCTTCAAATAAAAGTTGTTTGCAATATAATTCTCTATAATTTTTGTTCTATAAATGATTTCTCTACATGAAAAAATATGAGGAAAAGTGGAAAATTTAAATTTTTCAGTACTTTCGTTGGCAATCATTATTAAAAAAATGTTTCGAGTAAGATATTTGTGGAAAATGTATGCATTTAGTTCATTCTTTAAACATTTACAGGCTTGATACAGTAGGTTGTACAAAATAACCGGAAAAAGCCTGTAATAACTTTGGTAAGACAGCAAAGTCATGTCAGATTTTTTTAACGGCTTGGTCACATTTGTGTTTGGAATTAATGTAAAGTAATTTTTGTTTCCGAGGTTTTAAGCGAAAATACTGAAATATTTTTGTTAAATTTTTGCCAAATAACAATACAATTAATTTTTTCTTAACTAGAAACGTTTTACAAATCTTAATTAATAAAGTTGTCTAAGGAAGAAACTTGGCAAGAACTAGAGTGGTCAAACTGACGATTATAAAAATTGACGTTATTCAATTGTCTGTTTCATATGTATGTTTATTTCTAAAGCCAGAGTGGTCTAACATTTGATATAGTATAAAACATAAGATTAACCATTCCAATGTAAATCAGTTCACTAATTATGCATAAGAAGCTTGAAAACTATGTAATAATAGGTATTTACAATACGAGTAGTGATGGTGAAAAAAGTTCTATTAGATACGTAAACAATTTGGACCATTATATGCTCCTGGATTCTGGTATCACTATATATGACATTTCAATAACGTTATTCTTATATAGTCCAGTTAGGCCACTCTGGCTCTCACGTCTTCAATTTATGCAGTCATAGTTAGATATACCTAGTAATCAATTTAAAGAAAGACGGTTGTCAAAAAAAAAAAAATACAAAAATGACGAATATTAATATTAGATCCTCGATTAAATTTTGCGGGTTATCGATTTGTTTCTATTTTTAGCCAGTGAACGTCGAGGAAATCGTGTTGAAACTGCTCCAGCTGGTGGTAGATATCAATGCGCGAAAAAAAGACAACAATAGCGAGGAAAACATTAGGAGGTGAGTAATTGACTGTAACTAACTGTATCTTAATGCTTCACCTAGTTCATTTGTTTCAAATGTAATTTGAGATAACGTATATTAGTCACTGCGTCAAGGTTTGATACATTGTTGAGAGCATGTAAGGTAATAGGTTATGTTATAATGTGTTAGTTTTATTAAATCATCACATCCTAATTATACGTCAGGTTTATGTAAAGGAACAAAATACTTGGATTGTGGTTATCTTCAATGATGTCGAAATTACATTTAAAATTAATTCCATAAATTTAATAAAAGGTTATGGTGACCGGTTTCGGAAAATTATCAATCCTGAAATGTGTAATTTTTTAATATGGAGTAATCCATAAAAAGGTTTCTAAAGTAGGTCGTGGAAAAATCACGAATGTCGGAGTTTACAATTCTTGTTTCTTAAATAGCAGTTTGGATTTAATTCAGACGCGTTCGTACTTATCACGGACATGACTCGTATCTCTGTCTTTGTCGGTCATCAAGCTCGTAGCTGAGTTGTTTTCTTGGGGGGTAACACTTTTCACATTATTGGTGAATGCGTAGCGTGTTATCTTAAAATATGGTAACAATGCAACGTCTAGAATTCATATGTGTATTTCCAGAAAAAAGACTGAGTTTTAAAATGAAGTTTTTAATTTTTTATTTATTTATACAGGGTGTTTCAGAATAAATTACCGTAAATTTGGGGATTTGTAGATCTTAACCAGTTATAAAGAAAAGCTAAATATAATTTTCCTATAAACGTCCCAGTTTTCATTCTACAGGGTGATAAAGTGAATTTCTTAAATACATATTTTCTTAATATCTTCCTTTACAGTAAAGACTAACTTAAAAATATGTATGTTAGTTAATAGTTATTATTAACACATTCTATTTCGATAAATTACCATAACCCATTGGCGTAGAATCAAGGGCTAAGGAAACAATTTTATTCAAAACTTTTTGAACACCCCATATTTCATAAAACTTAAGATTAATAATTATTTCCCACGCGATTTGTCACAAAAAAGGGACTTTTGGTTGATATTTGTTGACCATTCCATGTCCGAGGTGACAACTGATTTATTTTATACAGAGTGTTTGGAAACATGTCTTAAATACGGCTAATTTCAAGTTCAATTTACTTAATATTGTCAAATTCAACACACTGTATATTATTTTGGCATAAAATTCCTTATAATAGTATATTATGCAAAGATCATGTAATAACCATTACATGAGAGTTGCATACGCTATTTTTTCTACACCCGATAATTAACCAAGAACTATAACTATTATAATTATATTTGTATTGAACACAATAACAGTAATTACTCGTATTTCTATAAAAAATTCTCCAAAATTGTAATTAATGGTATTACCTCGGGTATTGGTATTACCATAGATTTTTGGGGCAAAATATTTTGTACTGCATTTTCTCCGATATGTGTGGAGGAGTTGATGGTAAGTCTCCTATATCGCTGATATCAGACATTTTGATAATATAATTATCGAAGTTTAGCTATCTACGAAAATTTAATACCTACTGATTTTGACAACTAAAACAATTACATAGAAACCTAGGACGAACGTCAAATGCACAGCATGCTTGATTGAAAAATTATGGGTTTTTATTGATTAAAAATCTATATCGTTATGAAAAATCTGTATCATAATGGGAATCATTATGAAACGTATTATGGGCATATAAGTGCATTATTATAATACGGGTGTAGAAAAATTTACTTATCCAACGGTACCAACATGTCCCAATAGTGCGTAATTGATAGCTGTTTTATTATTGGAAATAGCAAAAACAAATTAATATAAAACTTTACCTTAGAGCCAAAGAGTATTAAGTCCATTTTACAAAATTTTACAGGAGAGCTTGTTGAAACTTTTGACTGCCTTGTATGTTTAATTGAACTTAATGTTGGGTTTAAAAATATATCTGGAAAATTAAAAATAATAGGACTTAATACTTAGCATCAATGAAAGGAACAGGAAAAATTATGTAGAAGTAACCAAAAACTTGAAAATGAAAAAAAAAGGTGGACTTAATACTGTTTGGCTCTGAGATTCAGAAAAGCTGTATGAACATGTTTGATAAATATTCTTAAATATACAGGGTGGTCCATAAACGAGGGGCTTACCAAACTTATAATTTTTTATATTTGTTTTCACATCGTTAAACAACTTTAATAGACTTCATGTATTTGCTATGTTGTATATAGGGTGTTTCAAAATGAGGGGAAACGATTTTATCATTTTTTTTAAAGTCATACCACCAATTAATTAATACAGGGTATCCATTTAAAAAATCGTAACCTCACGTTTTGATACACCCTATATACAACATAGCAAATGAATAAAGTAAATTCAAACTGTTTGACGATGTAAAAACAATTATTATGTATTACTACCTGCAGGGTTTGCTTTAAAAAAAGCATAAATTTGGTCAGCACCTCGTTTATGGACCACCCTATATATTTAAGAATATTTGTTAAATATGGTCATACAACTTTTAAACATTTCTTCGTATTTCTAATAATATAACAGCTATCGATCAATTACGCACTGAAGGGACTCCCTGTATATGTGTTATTGACTAACACATTGGTATTGTTGTATCGGCAAATTTATAAGGAATTTTATGACAAGATATACAGTGTGTTGCGTTGGAAAAATTAAGTAAATTGAACTAAAAATCAGCCATATTTTTAAGACATGTTTCAAAACACTCTGTATAAAATAAACCAGTTGTATCACCGCTATTCGTTAGCTTAGTAGTCTGTATATTATACAATTTTGAAATCAATGTAAACCTACCTAAATTATGATAATTTAATTTGGGATTTGCATCATACTATAATTTAAAAAAAATTAATTCCTTGGCAAAACTGTAGAACTGTAAAACACTCTAGGGTTAAATACAATATTCCCAAGCAATTCTTAAAATAAAATACAGGGCGTTCTATTTAAAAAATATACATTTTTATTTGTCAGGCAAAAACGCAACACCCTGTATATTCAAAAATATTTTTAAAATATGTGTTTTTCAAATTTATATAACTTTCATTTGAAACTTGTTTGTGTGTATATAACACAAATTGAAATATTGAACAATTCCGCACTAATGGCACCCTGTATATATTTTAATTTTCAATTTGCACCATTATTATTATTATTATAGATGACAATGTTTGAAAAACGGTTTTATTGTATTTATTTTATCTCTCTATTTTTGTTTAATATAACGTTTAAAAAAATATTGATGTTGACTATGCTTAGGGGGGTAATTACCCTCATTACCCCCCCTTATCTACGCCCTTGTAGGTCATGGCCTACTTAAGATTGTAATATTATTATCCCATGTGGGCAATTTATTCACCTCGATTAACTACGCGGTACATCTTGACATTTTGATATTTTTCTCAATTTTGCAGGAACAGAGATGTAGAAAAGATCATGGACATTTTGGAAAAGATGAAGAAAGGCGCTGATTTTGATTCGTTGAAAGACGTTTTGAAGGAATTGCAAGACGATAATGCCTGCAAAGAAACATTAGAATTGAAAATTATTCAAAGTGCTGAAAGTTTTCGTAATAATTCCAAAAATGACATAAAAGAGTAAGTAGATACCATATAATTCTATTAAAAATCCTTAAAACTTAAAAAACAATAAGAAGGTGAATAAAATATTACTAAAATTTAATTAACTATTCACAAATTGTGATAAAGCTTGCTCCTGAGAAAAGTACACGTTACAAATGGCATTTCTGATATAGTATAAACGCAACTTAGCCCGAGCGCCAGATTATTTAACGGTTTACTCCACAAGTTTTCTAATGGAGGCCCTACACTCTTCAATATGACCTGCAGGCTAAAACACAGTTTTGATGATCTAAAGGCCAAATTTAATCAGTTCATTTCACTCAAAGAGGAGAGTCAGGTCGAGCACTTCACGTTGAGTTATGGACTGAATCGATGGACTGATAGCTTTCACCAAAATTGTTCGCACTATTTGTTATTTTTTCAAGTATTATTTTAAATGCAAAAATTTATCAGAACGATGATAAACACTTTATGACCTGACCCAATAAAATACTGCAATCCCGACATTCGCAGACATTTCTCACAGTAATTATAAATCGACCTACAGCCAACATGCAGATTTGTTACTAATTTTCTTATGGCTGAATTTATTATTATATTTGTGTTATGATACGAATTCACGAAAGCGCGACGTTCAGACTGGAGCGCTTAGGTAGCTATAGGCATTACAAGTAGTACGTGCATCACAAAAACTTAACTTAGTTTCTTAACATTTTCGTTACATTCGACGATAAATGCCCACTTACAAGAAATATTAAACCCTTCATCAATTTCGGTGGGCCATTTTTTCTTTCCAACGTTTTAAAGTAGTGCGTGAGAAGGCATGCGCGTGACTTATTTTCAAAAGTGGATGCTTGTACCAAAACAAGATAAAAATTTTAAAAAATATGTTTGGTTTAACATAAAAAGGCAATAACTTGATAAAGTGTTTGTCAAAATGGATGTAAATAATCAATTAGGGGTTTTTAAGGTCGCAGAAAACGAATTTTTATATTAACCGATTTTTAAATTTTCATCATTATGTAATATTCAATGTGCTGGTTCCTAAATGCTAAATGTAACTTTATAACAGTATTCTTTATCCAAAGATTTTTTTAATAGAATTCATAATAAAATTTCGTACGCCTATGTTACTTTAAATACAACCATTATATGGTAAGTAAGCAGGTATTAATGTAAAACCGCACATAATTTTTAATTCAAATAATAAAAACACACCAGTTTAGTTGCTAAGGTTCGCCACCCTAAATGGAGAAAAGGGAAATAGGCTTTTCTTTTAAAATTTAAAAAAACTGATATGAGAAATAAGAAACTTGATCAATCGTTTACGATTTTAGTCATAAATGAAGATTTAACACTATCTGAGAGGATGTAACAGTATTTTCCGAATATCTTTTAAAACCTTATTTTTTGTCATTAAAAAAAATAGTTTTAACAATTTGAATTACTACTTGCACTTGGTCAAATTTTTTAATCATAATGGGAGCTTTTCTAACGAATCGAAAGCTCTGATATCATGAAATGAAATTATATACTGATCAATTTTGCATGGAGGTCAAGGATACATTTTTCACACATGAATGTAGTGTCCTATCTTGGTAATCTTCAGTTTTACCCTGTAAATAAAGTATTTAAAATTATTCAACCGAAAATAAAAATCATTGACAAGTATGTTTACTTTTACTCATTCCATCAATCAAGATACTACAATGATATAACTCGTTATCGACAAATGCACACACTTACATTTTAATAAAGTAGTTCTAAAGTTGTCAGAGTAGGTGGTATTTGTGTCTGAATACTAAAAACTTGAATATACGTTTTGGATAAACGCCAGAGATATTGCTTCACATCTGCGAAATTTTAATTTGTGTATTATATCAAAAATATTACACATGCATTATATTTGATGTTGGTTATTTTCAAATGCATGATTCACTAATTAAGGATAGCTTACAGGTGGTTTTTCAATATGAAATGTGTAGAACATTATTAGATTGCTCATTTTTGACAAGAAAACAATATGGGAATAAATCAAAGAGAAATAATTTTCTAATTTCGACCAAGCAAAATTAAACAAACGTCAAATTGTAGTAGAAGTAACGTGGTTGGCCCCCTTGCGCTACCCCTAACCTCTAGTTTTAAGCGTCTACTTCTTTTAATATTTAACGACAGGTCATATTTAAAAAAAAATATATATATATATATATATATAAATATATACAGAGTGAGTTTTAAGTATGGAACGCCTCAATTATCTGGGAAACGGCTTGCAAGATTTTTATATACTTTGGTATGTAAATGTTTTGTAATACGGCTAATATTATGGTTGTATTTACATTGTTGTCAGATCTTTCGGTTTTCTGGAAATTTAATTAACTTTGTTATTTCAAATGGATCACCCCGTATATTTTTTGTTTTTTGAAATCCTTAAGAAATACTGATTATTTTTTATGTAATGTTCCCTATGCCTAAATGCCGTCATTTCGGGGTTATAACTACTTTTACATTATCTCAGCGGAAGTTAAAATAATACATTTAGATAACTATGATTGAATAAACTCGTTTAATTGGAATATTCTTTAATAATCTATATCTTAACAAAAATTTCGTAACAAGGTCTAATGAAGGGGCTGGTAACTCAAATGGAAAAACATGAGGTTGGTAATTTAGTACCACTCCAATTAACGGGATGGCGCTCGTATCGAAATGTCATGTCAGTTGTCAGCTCATCAAAACTTCAAACTTTGGAGAAATTAAAATGGCTATTGTATTTGAAGGTGTATTGAATTTTGATTCACCTTCCAATTTTAAGTATGTTTTCAAACGACGGTGACAAACAATAAAGCACTCCCATATATTGGTAGTGATGCAATTTATACCACATTAAATATGCAGTCGTCATATTAGGGATAACCAAATAATTTGTAATAAGTGTCTTAAGAAAAATCCACAATCACTGTTTGGCACCAACGGTAAGTAATATTTACAAACTTGTTTTTGATTCAGTGTTAAAATTATGGAACGCCGTTTTACTTTTTATTCTTAAAGATTCAATTGATCATTTTTAAACATAGAACAATTTTATTCAACCCATTTTTATATTTGTTTAAGTTTTTTAGTTCTATTAAATTGTTTGTTTAAAAAACTTTGGCTATTTAAAATGTTTGGTGAATAAAATTGTATCTTGATAAAATGCGCGAGTCAAAAATATTTGAGTCATATTTAAAACTTTTAATTTATATGATACAATTAAAATTATCAACAGTCATTTTAATTCATGTAACATTTTAATTAAACCAACAAAAAATAAACAACCATTTTAAATATGGTATTTAGATTTTTGGCTACAATTTTAATGACTACATTAAAATGATTGTTATTTATTTGTTTGTTGAATTAAAATGTTAGTCGAATTAAAATGACACTCGATTTAAAATAATTGTTGATAATTTTTGTTCCGAATTAATATGATTGTTGATAATTTTAATTAGTCGCTGTAGTCAGCGGTCGCTACGAGAACTAATAAAATATGTAATTTGGCAACAAGGTTTACTGCAACGTCAAACGTCATGTATGATGTATGTAATGTCATATGTCTTACAATGTTTATGGTTTGTTTTGTGCAGAAGCTGTTGGTAGAAAATATTTTTTAGATTTTTAGTCGCTCTAAAATGTTATCATCTAAGTTCTAGTTAAAAATAGAATTTGTGCTTGTATCAGTTTGAACGTAAAAAAACTAGTGGATTCGTGATTTCGATAATGGATTCGAATGTTGCTGCTGCTGTGAAACAGAGAATTCATAGAACATTACTAGATGCAGAAAGATCTGTATATAATGGTTTTGGAAACTCTCAACGTATTTTGGTTACATATTTTATTAGTTCTCGTAGCGCCCGCTGACTACAGCGACCAATTAAAATTATCAACAATCGTATTAATTTGGAATAAAAATTATCAACAATCATTTTAAATCGAGTGTCATTTTAATTCGACTAACATTTTAATTTAACAAACAAATAAATAACAATCATTTTAATGTAGGCATTAAAATTGTAGACAATCATCTAAATACCTTATTTAAAATGTTTGTTTATTTCTTTGTTCGTTGAATTATTATGATACATGAAATAAAATGATTGTTGATAATTTTAGAACCTACATTTAAATTACATGTGTAAAAGGTAAACAATGGAAATCTTTAGTCGGGTTGATTTAGAAAGTTGCATTTTTATTCAATAGACAACTTATACATTCTAATTTTTTTCAATTAATATTTTAAATAGGCCACTAGATTAAATCAAACATTTTTAAAATAAAAATATATTTAAATTAATGTTGAAATATTTAGGTAAGTTTTTGAATTGTTTTGGTTATTTATTTTTTAAATAAATAACAATTTTATTCAACACATTTTAATGTTTGTCTATTTTTTTTAGTTCTGTTAAATTATTTGTTCAAAAAACTTTGGCTATTTAAATGTTTAATGAATAAAATTGCATCTTGATAAAATTGCGTAAGTCAAAAATATTTGATAGTCATATTTAAATCATTTAATATATATGATACATTTAAAATTATGAACAGTCATTTTAATTCGTGTAACCTTTTAATTCAGACAACAAAAAAATAACAAACATTTGAAATAAGGTATTCAAAATGATTGTTGCTATTTTCTTTGCGAACATATAGTTACCTAATCCAAAACAATGCGGAATTAAAATTTTCAACAATCATTTTAATTCTTTAACTAAAAATATTTATTATTTTTATGTTAGTTGAACTAAAATGCTACACGAATTAAAATGACGGTTGATAATTTTAATTGCATCATATAAATTAAAAGCTTTAAATATGACTATTAAATATTTTTAACTTACACAATTTTATCAAGATACAATTTTATTCATCAAATATTTAAATAGACAATTTTTTTTGAACAAATATTTTAATAGTACTGAAAAAATTAGACAAACATAAAAATGAGATGATTAAAATTGTTCTGTGTTTAAAAA